GACTGGGTGGTCATAATGTTATGGCTGATCAGTGTATTTGGTTGTGTTTTCATAAGTAATAAATGCTACAATGGAGTACAAAGGTATAGAGGACGTTTGTCCTCACAGATGGTGTATACTAGTTACATACTGTACATGTATAATGCATTCAGTATGTAATGTGTATGTTGTCCTACACATTAAGGTCGTTAAGATCATGTTAAATTGAGAACACACACAAACACACAGACACACGCACGCAATGGTTAAGTCACAGAACTGTGACAGCAACCTTTGGATCTAAAATGTTGGAAAGATGACGCTCACAAGGGATGTCTACCTTATAGCTGTATACAATGTACATATAACTCTTATTCTATCTTGTTATAACTTGTATTTTTCTATTCTAGTTTTTGTTTATGTGTATTTTCTTATCCATTGTGTTGTGTTGTCTCTGGAGCTGCTGTAGCGAGGGAATTTCCCCGGTGTTGGATCAATAAAGCCTTATCTAATCTAATCTTGTCCGAAAACAGTATCTGTCATTTTAAAAGTATCTAAAGTATCTAAATTTGCTGGATCCAGTTTGTTGTTGGATGTGACACATCAACACATTTCGTGTGCAGCTACAAAAGAGTCTGAAAGTGGAACTTTTCTTAGCAATCTGAGACATCAGCATTAACCATTAGGTTGTGGTGTCAGTCAGCCATCATCAGAGAGCAAAAGCTTCTCCAGACTCAACTTCTTTGCAGTGATGTTCAACAATCATACCGTCAGGACCCATCATGGACAAGGAAGATATTTCCTTCATAGCCACAACAGAACACAATGCAGAACAAATATAAGACATGACACATTCTGACTGATGGCATAACTCTTGCTTGTGAAAAGTCTCGGTTGTGTACCACAATCACTACAGATATATAGTCCTGACTACACATTTGACTGCACTTAAGCGGCAGTAGCTCAGTGTGTACGGACTTGGCTTGGGAACCGTAGGGTCACCGGTTCAAGTCCCACAGACCACAAAATATGGAGTGTGGACTGGTAGCTGGAGAAGTGCCAGTTTCACCTCCTGTGCACCACTACCGAGGCGCCAGTAACGTGCAGCCCCATCACTCCACCATCTCTCCCCTTTGCATGTCCACAAGTGTGTGTGAAGTGTGTATTTCAGCCTGTGTGTGCATGTATATAAAAGAGTGAAAAAGAACAATTTCCCCCTAGGGGATCAATAAAGTATTTCTTCTTCTTCTTCTTCTTCTATGTATGATTCACAGCTGAAGGCAGCAACTTCATTCTCACTTTCCAGGTGATGTTAAAAGTCTGTGAAGAGTGAAAGAACCGAATAATGGAAGTGGATGATGCAGGGTTAGGAAAGTGCTACAGCAGACTATTACATTAACACAAGGGGTGTGAATCATACAGTGAATGCATTGGAACATGCTTCTTGACTCTTTGATTCAAGAGTGCTCAATGTTTTTCTTTCTTTTGCTTTTGGAAATGATGGTTTGACACAGCAGTGGTGGAATGTAACTAAGTACATTTACTCAAGTATACTTTACTTAAATATACAAATTTTACTTGTTACTTTGTTCTTGCTTTTTTCACACAAACATATGAAGCGCTTATAAATATAATGCTTTGTTATGCATTATACTACCCACAGTACAAGTACAACTGAACTGATTAGTAGAGTGATAGAATATTATTATTACTATTTTGATAAAGTCATTTGCAAAAACACTTTCCAGCTTTACAAATGCTTTGATTTGCTGCTTTTCCCTTAATACTTTTATTATTTGTGTTATTGGACTGTTGGTTGTACAGAATAAACATTGTGAAGGTGTCACTTTGGTATCTAGGTAACTATAATGCCATTTCTCAGTATTATCAGTAACAGTTGATAAATCGAGAAAATAATCAGCAGATTAATCCAAAATGAAAATAATCGTTACTAAATAATTTAAAATGAGCTTCACCTCAACTGACTGCAACAGTAAAATCCTGCTTTTACATTAATGCATGACTAATAATAATCTAATGATGTTATATAAAATAGTATAAAACAGTCACAGGGGAAGATTTGTATGCATTAAGCACTTTTACTTTTAATACTTTAAGTAAATTTTCCTGATTATATCTACATACTTTTGCTTATAGAACATTTTAAATTCAGGATTTTTGCTTGTAACAGACTAGAGTATTTTTACAGAAAGATATTAGCACTTTTACTTGAGTAAGTAACCACTGCAATACAGTAGGAATAACTATACATTTCAATATATGAGTGAAATAATGTTAGAGTATCCCATGTTCGCATGTATCCCAAGCATGTTCCAAATGTTTACTGGTGTTACCCTGTTGCATATTTCCCTCTCAGTGTTAGAAGTAGTTGTGACAGTGTTTACAAGTTTCAGCTTTACATTCTTCTCAGTGGAAATATTCATTTCTGGTCAGTTTGATTTTTACAAGGCATTTAATGTTGAATTATCGCTATTAAAAAAGGCAATGTTTTTTAGCAGATCTATTTGCAATGATGCACCAATTGCCTCATTACATCTCTATTTAACACACCATGATCACAAATTAAGTATTGAAATGCACTAAACAACACATATTATTATTATGATAGATTTGAAGTATTTTATGTTTGTTTATGTTTTTCAAATCATATGCAGTGTGATTGTGAAATGCCCAATGTGTGCACTTCTTTAAATGTAGAAAATCAGATTTCAGTCCTGGTTAATTTGGTGACACTAGGTGTTTAATACTACAAGTACCAGAATTCTGGGGGCAGCAAACACTCATTGAGCACCTACTTTGCCAGAAATACAACAGAAGGGGGCCCCCCTGTGGCTCACCAAGTAGAGTGTGGCACGGGTTTGAATCTGGCTCGAGCTCTTGGCTGCATGTACTTCCCTCTCTCTCCCCTGTCTCTCTTTACTGTCACTATCCAAATGGCCAGAAATGTATATTGTATAGAGTAAAAAAAGAAACCAAAAAAAACGCAACAGAGGAGCAACTGGCGTATCTGTTCACAGTATAACCAAACAAAGTCATATTTTAATAAAGAAGTCAGACACTAATTGGCTTTTTTCCATCATGTCATGAGCAAAGCTGATATGATTTCATGCTGTGCAAGGAGCAAGAAGTTTCCCACACAGCAGCAGGAGAAAAAGGAGTTGGTTACCTTACTGAGGAGTTGAAGGTGTGCGGCCTGTCGCCTGCAGCTCTTCATCTAACAGCTCACTGTGGCTGCTCCTTTTTGTTCCATTGCTCCCTGCAATATTTAAAACTGATCTGCTGTCAGAAAATGCTGAAAATTGTCTTGTTGAGTAGATGCATTTTTGGCGATCATGGTTTGCACTAACCTTGGTGACAAATTCACTGTTTCATTTGACTGCTTTACAATAAAAGCCACCTTGTGTTTCACCAGTTGAACATTCTTAACATTAAAGATTTAGGAAGATCTACTGGTAGAAATGGAAAGAGATGATGCCACTAAATCTTACACATTGACACCTTTAGTAAAGCTGTGATACAGTGCAATAAACTGTAGTGAACAGTAAGTAGATGAATTCAATTAGATGCATCCATTGTTACCTGTGAAACGCTCATGCGTGTGAAGGCAATTTGACTCCTGTGCAGGAATGGCGGACTCCGCCAAGGATAATAAAACTACCATATAGAGACGTAATTATGGAATGTAAATACATTGAATGGCTCTTGCTGAAAAAATGTTTACCATAGATAGTATCATGGGGTTGACTCTTTTTGTGAATTTGGAGGTTTGAAAATATAATTACTAAGATTTTCATGAAATCAGAGGACAAGACCTCAGTGGTGTGAGCCAGTGCTACTTGGAAAAGCACTGTGACACCACCACACGTTAGAAAATTTATATTTTGATTCTATCAATAATAATGTGACGCTTAATTACATTTTCATCCAATGTGGAGAAACCGACAGGTCAGAGCAGAGGTCAGGTCAAAGGTCAGCAAAAACCAGTGCCCCTGGAGCAGATGTGCAATATTTAGTATGTCATTCGTGGACACTTCGGGATGGCCTACTCTATTTTATTCTATTTTTCTATCCACATGTGCACAGAGGCAGACAGGAAGAGATTTATGTGAATGGATGCCTCTATTATGTTTCTTCCTTTTCTCCCTCCCTGACCTCATCTGCTTCTCAACCCCCTAATTCCTAATTACTCAATCATGCATTATGAGGGTCACAAGGGTACGGTTCACTCCAAAGTCAGCCATTACCTACAGCCATGTAACGGCAGATTAATGGCTTTATATATAGTCTGTATATCCACTAATGCGACATATGATGTAAGTCAAAGAAAATAGAACTGTGGATTTATGCTATCTGTGAAAAAAGGAGGGTTAGTCATGTGCCAGGCTTTGAACAGGAGCCATGTTTTTGCAGTATGTATGCATATTTTACTGTTAATGCGTGTTATTCATGTATTTATCTCTCTTCTAAGTTGTTCATTTATCTGCTTCCATGTGAGTACGTGTGCCTGTGTGTGTGTGTGTGTGTGTGTGTGTTTGCCTGCACTAAAGAGGCAGTTAATCTGACCATGTCTGCTGGCAGGACATCAGGTTGCCCCATAGTGCATTTAGGCAAACAGCCAGCCTCAGATAGCATTGGTCTGTTCATTCTGGTAAGGCTACTGTAGCTTTGCCTCCAGGACTTGATGTATCCACCAGCAGCTGGAGTGCAGAAGAGAAATGTGGGTTTCCATCACTCCAAATAACACAGTGTTTCTCTAATGCTGTGCTGTACGACTGTTTCATTCTCCAAGAGAACTCCAAAAGCCTGGATTTCATGCAATTTCGTCAAGAACTTTGCCAGTTTGGGCTTTGATTGTACAGTACTTACCAGGCTATCACGCTCTCCAAATGGGAAAGCATCTAATCTAAATGACTGTCTGCAGCGCGTGAAGTGCCATGCAACCCCTCTCTCCTCTACCGGAACAGCTGGCCGGCGGTCGCTTCAGTTCAGAGCAGAGGCGTCGGATTGAGGGTGATTGAGGCACATATAGAAAGAAGAGAGAGAGAAAGAGAGGGAGAGAGAGAGAGAGAGAGAGAGAGAGAGGGAGAGAGAGAAACTGAATTCCAGCGAATTAATCACCGTCTGTTCCACTGTGTGTGTGTATGTGTGAGAGAGAGAGTCAAAGGCAGTCAAATAGAGAGAGAGAGAGAGAGAGAGAGAGAGAGAGAGAGAGAGAGCGGGAGAGAGCGAGAGAGAGAGAGAGGAGGGGGAGTGGAGCCTGACGCAGTGTGAGAGGCAGAAACTGAGAGGAGAGAGACGGAGAACGAGGGAGACAGCGGCGAGGAGGCAGCACATCACATCACGCGCCGTTTTGCATCCCAAAAAAATCCTTGAGCCACACTGGCTGCTGCTGCTGCTGCGACCGCGGAGCTCTGCCCCGGCCACGGCTCCTCACCGGGACCGCAGAGGAGACACGTGCAAGCTGGGATCAAATCAGTGACAAAGACTTGAAGAAAAAAAAAGAAAAAAAGCCCGAACATCAACAACACAGCCACACATACTGCCAGAGTCAACGAGCGGACCCGTTTTGCTGGGGAGACCTGAGAGGCGAAACGGCGTCTTCTTCCACGTTGGCATCTGGAACAGGTAAAGTGAAAACATCTGTAGATTGCGCACAACGCGTTTGGCTTAATTTCATGTGTCTGTCTTGTGATGGCTGGACTCGCATTGCGTAGGCAACTTTGAAATACGCCAATAGCTCTGGCATTCCTGCGGTTCTGAAATCACCGACACTGACCCCGTCTGTCTGTGTGTGTGTGTGTGATGAATGGGGGGGGGGGATTTGCTGGTTGGCTATTCCCAGGCAACCTTGCTTGTCTTATCTCAATCCCCCTGTGTCCAATGCTAATGCGGGCGCAGATACATAGATCCAGATTTACATTATGTGCTCTTTGTGAATGTGTGCGGTACCTGAACGTCCCATGCTCCAGTCTGTGCAACCTATAACTGTGCAACTTTAATCCGAGCATGTTCAGCATTTCAAAGATATGTCTAAAGCGTGTCATATTTTGCGCACATTTAGGCTGGTCACTTAGTATTAATTTAGTTTATGTCCCGGGACGGGCTGCAGTGCCGGAGTCAAGGACCGGCACGGTTTAGCCCTCATACCGCACCGCAGTCCAGTTTTCAGGACCCTGGACAGCGGCTCTGGGCTGCAGGCAGTGATACATCCAGCCCGCTGAACTCTTTTCCTTGCTGATATGTCTCTTGAATTGGTTTCATCTGGTCAGCATGTTTCTTATTTTAGATCTGTGATGTCTGTGCTAGGAAATACTTTAATGGCCTACTGTAAAACTACATTACTTCATATAGCTGTCAGTACAAAGATGTATCTGCCTGAAAGATTTCAGTGGAACCGTGTTTTTCCCATGTTATTCTCAACATGCAGATGCATACACTGCAGCCCATCCCACCACAAGTGTTTGTGAATGCTAGAGGCTGACCATGTATGGACAGGTGACAAATTAAAGGGGTACTCCAGCAATAAAGTATTGCGTTTACATACAGAAAGGGGTTTCATAACATGCACAATAAAACAAAAGATGGTTAAAATGACTGACTTTTAGTCCCTAACTCTGGGTCCTATGTTTCCTGTCTTTCATTTCACATCAGGATGATTTTTTGAAACTTTGGAAACCTTCCCCAGAGCCACAGAAGACATTATGAAATTGTTTTTGTCACATCCTGTGTGATACTTATGATGGCGAGTGTAAAATCGATACTCCTTTTGAAGGAATCTAACTTGAATTAATGGGTGGAGAAACATAACGAATGCAGCTGCTGCTATACAGGGCACAAGGGGGTCACTAAATGGTTTGATGATCATGAAAATGATTTTGAATCATATGCTATGGCCTTCACAGTCCCCAGATCTCAATCCAATCGAACAGAGATGTGTTAGCCAGCCACCATCATCAAAACATTAAATGAGGGAATATCTTTTGGTGCTCATCCCTCCAGTAGAGCAGAAACTTGTAGAATGTATGCCAAGTCGTTTGTGGTGGGTTATCACCACTTTGGCACACATGTTTAAGCCTTACTCAGTTAAAATGTGGCTGTGCAGCAAAAGTCCAGGCCTGTTAAAATAGTCTTGGTCCACTGAGTGCATGTGTGTGTGACAAAAAGTCGCTCAGCCAGTTAAATTTTGGCTGCTGTGCCCTGTGCTTCCTGCCTACTGCCCCACTATCTGTTGTAACGGATGTTGTTGCCACTTTGTCCCATAGGGCATGGACTACTAACAGAGTTTTTCCACTGACTGACTCCAATTGTTGGCTGAGTGCCACAGAGGGAGAGAGGGAAAGAAAAGGAAGACAGATAGATTGATAGAAAGAGAGAGAGAGGAACAGGGTCTCACTCCTCGCACCATGACTATTCATGAGGTAGTTCCAGTAAAACAGAACAGCTTCAATGACTTAGTTCAGGACATTATGTGTTTGGGTGTGAGAAATGGTTGGCTGGCTCTTTTCAAGTCCAGAGATCCTCGGTCACAGTGAAGTCTTTAGTTGTCCTGAGAATTCATTGATAACTATCTTAGAGGTCGCTCATCTTGCTTTCATCCTGCATTAGTACTGCAGTGCTTGCTGCAGCACACTTCTCCAGTCTCAAGAGTTGTGAGAGCAGAACACCTTTGATCGGGCTGGAACAAAAGGAACTCTAAACCTGTGGTTACCAAACAGCTCTGTTTGATTCTTCAGAGCTAAAAACGTCACAAAATAAAACTAAATAAAATCTCTCTACAAGCAGCTACACAGTGAGAGCTGTTTGTGCTGCAGCAGCAGACACGTCAGAAATACTAGGACTCTAATGGTTACATCTGTAATAAGGCAGGTGGCAACATTAAAAATCAGAAGTAATGAAAAGTGACAACTTTAGTAGAGAGGAACTGCCAGAACGTCTGCAAGTACAAAATGAATGAAAAGTGATGGGCTTAATGTCTGTGCTGTCTTGTCATAGTATAGCAGCTCTCAACCTTCACCTGAAGTTGTAAAGGCGGTAAAAGAATTTCCCCTATGGGGATTAATAAAGTACGTCCTCTTGTTCTTCTTCTTGCTTTTCTTTCTTTTCTCATTTACTGCTGACCCAGGAGGTAGCAACCCATCCATGGTACAATCTTAGTACCTAGAGGCATCACTTTGGGGCAAGTTCTCCAGGAATACTAAAGAAACCCTGTTGTGTAATGGGAGATCCCTCCTCACTCTCCCATCCATTTACTCCATTTTTCGCCCTTTTAGCTGCCATTGCAAGAGAGAAACACGGAGCACGTATCTGTTGAAATCCCAGGCTAAATTTCAAAATCAACTCTCATCAGTTATTATTTGTCAAAGCCATCCATATTTTAACAGAAACTAGCTCCTCATATTAAGCATGTTGGTGCACAGAGAGCCGACAGTATCTCTTGTCATAATGTTGATCTTTGTTGAGAGGGAATACCCCGTGGTGTGGAAGCAAATCTGCATGCATAGTTAACATGGCACCTCCCTGCTGGCTGGTTCTGAATATGAAGACATTTTTTTTTTAACTGTGCTATTGTCTTCTGTTACATTTATTCATTTTCTGTTTTGATATTGAAATAGGATTGGCATACAAAAAAGTTGTAAACAAATGTTAGGCTATTTGTCATGAGAAAAGTAGCCAAACATTTTAACGCACACACTCACGCTCATGACATGACATGTAAAACACACACAGCAGCACATATATGCACCTATATGAACAAAGCTTCTGAATAGGAGGGTGAGAGGAATGTCTAGAGACATGCAAACAGAAATGTGCATGCACGAGCGCTTGCACACGTGCGTGCTGTAGACACACACTTCTAGGATGCACACGCTCAAGCAAGCACATGGATTAATAATGTACCATGTTCCCAGTAGGAGGCTAGTTAGCATTTCAGGAAGATTGCACTAACACTGGGGAACTGTAATTAGGAAGTTATTGTTGCAAGTTGCAACTCACACACACACACACACAAAATACCCCCTTACACACACAAACGCACACAGCATGCAAATAGTGAAGTGGGGGGGTGGGGGGCATTTTACTATTCGTTACTCCTAATCAGTGCTTCTATCAGTCTCTGTGTTATGTGCTTTATCTTTTTCTTTATTCTCACACCTTAAAGAAAGCAGTAGAATGTAACGAGCCTGTAATTGTGATTTTCTTCACACACACACACACACACACACACACACACACACACACACACGCACACGCACACACAGTATTGATCGGGTATCTTGTTCACACAAGATACATAAGATAAAGAATGTAGTGTTTTGGGACTTTGGTAGCTCTGGATTATCCAGCCATGTTGAGTTGATTTGTGCCCCCACACCAATATAACATAGTTGAGTTATATTGCTGCTCAAGAAACAGTGATATCTCTCCTCTCCAGAGACAGCACCCCCTTCAGTAGCAGTTCCATTAAAAGCTGTTCCATTTACCTACATTGTATTTAGGAGGAAGCAGTAATCCTAAAGTTGGATATGTCTAAACCTGAAAAATCTAATCTAACTGCATGGCTAGATATCAGTAAGTGAGAAAATATGTTTTCATTATAATTTGAGTGAACTGACCCTTTAACATAATCCATATAAAGGCATTTTGTGGGTGTAGATCCATGCCCGCATAACCCTGAATTATACTTCACTCTCTCTGTGCTGAAATGGTGCCTGAACTTTTTTCGCCCAAGGCTCATCAAATTTTGATGGGTCTCTTTTCGTCTGGGAATCCTAAAAACTAGAATCATTTCGGGTCTCAAGCTGTAGTTTAAGGATTCCTGAGAGCTGGTTTCATTAACCCGAGCGTTACGTTTTGAAACAATGAGACAACCAAGTGGTGACCTCATACCTCATTCTCATAGCGTGAATGATGAATGAGCTGCTTAATGTATGCTGACGCATGTCTTGCTGATGCCAGCATGCCAGAACTAGAGCTAATCCCAATCTAAACTCTCCAGCAAAGGTCTCACATCTTCTCTTTTTCTTTCTATCTCCCCTCCCCGAACACCTATTCCCTCCTCCCTCTTATTCCTCTCATCTCTCGCCATCTCTGCCTCCATCTTTCCATACTGCCACAATGCACACACCCTATTCAAGCAGCCTGTGTGTGTATATTGAGTCAGCTAGTTTGTATGCTGGCTGCTGCTATACCAGCCTCTCTCTGGAAATCAAGGAGAGATCGTGGGGTGTATGCTGAGAGAGGGAGAGGAAGAGAGAGCGGGGGGGGGAAGTTGGAGAGAGAGGGAGAAGAGGGTGAGGAGTGATAGAGACAGAAAGATAGATAGAGAGAGGGATAGGGATGCCATAAGACGAAATGAAAAGGAAATAACAAAAGGGTGGGAAAGATGGAAAAAGCGTTCAATAGATGTGTTTTCCTCCCAGCCTGCTTGTCTCTATTCTGTTTCATTACCTCTGCCCTCTGTTCTGCAGAAAGCACTGTCTCTGTGGCAGAGGTAGTTTGGAGACACTGTGGCCTGGCAGAGACTTGAAAAACCCTCTGATGTTCTGTTCTGAGGTGCTCTTCAGGGCTAAGAGGAGAAATCTCTCTGGCTGTCCCATTAGCTACTAGAGACTGGACTATTGAAA